CCCCGCCCCACCCCACCCCAGTGCCCCTCGCCTCAGACCTTGCCAAAGGTCCTAGGGGTGGTCAGACTGTCCCTTCCCTCTGTACCCTTAACTCGGACCTTGTCCCTGGTTTCAGGGCCCCCTTCTTGGATTTCGTCTCCCCTTCAACGCCGCCCCTGGCCTCAGGCTCCGCCCTAATTTGGCAAGGTCTGACATTCGAGCTCCGCCCCCTGCGTTTGGTCCAGCCCCTCCACCAGACTCCTCCCCTCGATCAGACCCCTCCCCCAATCAGACTCCTCCCCCCAATCAGACTCCTCCCCTCGATCAGACTCTTCCCCTCAATCAGACTCCTCCCCACGATCAGACTCCTCCCCTCGATCAGACTCCTCCCCTCGATCAGACCCCTCCCTTCGATCAGACTCCTCCCCCAATCAGACTCCTCCCCCCAATCAGACTCCTCCCCTCGATCAGACTCTTCCCCTCGATCAGACTCCTCCCCACGATCAGACCCCTCCCCTCGCCGAAGTTCGCCCTATCCTCAGCGCTGCGGCTACGCCCCCCTTCACCAGGCCCTTTAACTTCACGCTCTTCCGGGGCCTCAGGATTCTGGCTTCTCCAGCCTTCACCACTTGACCTCAGGATGGTGGGTCAGGCCGCCCACTCCTCGACCTCAGCCTTGGGCTGGGTCTTACGGCATATGGCCATGGCCGGACCCTAGTCTCAGGATAGGGTGGTCAGGCCTTTTCCATGGCCCCGTCATCCAGCCTCAGGCCTGCTCATGCCCCAGGGCACACACATCCCCAAAACAAGGAGTTGAGACTTTTCTGCCCCTTCAGCTCCCGGCCCTATAGCAGCACAGCCAGGGCAGGCTCCGCCCGCCGTACCTGTCTTAAGCACCAGCAAGTGCAGCGCGTCGTCCTGCAGGTAGGAGGCGGCGGCGATCTCGTGCGTGGGGATACGCAGGATGAGCTCCTCGTTGTCGCGCCAGGTGAGCAGCAGGCAGCGGGCCGATAGGCTCAGGATGCTGTCCTGCTCCGCCGTGGTTTTCAGCGGCAGCTCCTTCAGCTGCTGTGTGGTGGGTCGGATCTCCTGAGTCCCCCGGGGCCTTGGGTGGGAGAGGGAGAAGGGGACAGACCCTGCCTCTCCCCTCTGCAGAGCCTTACCCTGGCGGTGTCCAGCAGCTGCAGGAGCTCATCTCGGCTGGAGGGATTCAGTGAGGAGGTTACCCAGGTGAGGTGGCCCAGGAACTGGATGACAGAAAGGGATGGGGTGGGGGGCGTGGTGGGAGAAGGGCAGAAAGAAGTCACTCGGAAGCCTTGGCGGACCCTGACCTCCTCACTGATGCAGTGCAGATAGACTGAGATAGAAATACCGGAATTAATAATAAGAACCTGATAGTAACTGTTACTGAGCCAGTCATAGAAGCCAGACACAGCACAGTCCTGAGAGCTTTGTGCACATCCAACCTCACTTTATTTATTTAAATCTGTTTTTATTATTTTTGTTGTTTGTTTAGAGCAGTGGTTCTCAACCTTCCTAATGCCGCGACCCTTTAATACAGTTCCTCATGTTGTGGTGACCCCCAACCATAAAATTATTTTTGTTGCTACTTCATAACTGTAATTTTGCTACTGTTATGAATCGTAATGTAAATATCTGATATGCAGGATGTATTTTCATTGTTACAAATTGAACATAATTAAAGCATAGTGATTAATCACAAAAACAATATGTAATTATATATGTGTTTTCTGATGGTCTTAGGCGACCCCTGTGAAAGGGTCGTTCGACCCCCAAAGGGGTCGCGACCCACAGGTTGAGAGCCGCTGGTTTAGAGAGCGAAGAAGTGGGGGTGGGGGGGGAGAGAGAGACAGACAGACATTGATGTCCTGGGCATGTGCCCTGACCGGGAATCAAACTGGTGACCTTTCAGTGCACTGGACAAAATGTTCAACCAACGGAGCCACACCGGCCAGGACTCATCCTCAAGTTAAGCTCGAGAAAACTAAGGCACAGCAAAGGTAAATAACATGTCCAATTTATATCACTAGAAAGGACAAAACTGGACTGCACACACCACAGCCCACACTCTCACTGCTAGCTTGTATTGCCTGAACACAGTTATTTAGCTATGATGGAATCAAAAGTCACTATAATAGCTTGAAAGAACTGACCTGAGTGGCTCTGTCCACCTCAAACACCAAGATCAACTGACTGTGCAAGTCACTCACCCTCTTTGTGATCTTGTTGCAGAAATCAAATAGAAAGGAATGAATGTTGTATCAAACTGGGACATCATTTTGTGAGAAAAATGATGCCCCAAATCAATAAATTGATTCTTCATTCATTCTTAGTTATAACTTAATGCTATCAGTTAACTTATATGTTATTCCATCAATATAGGAATGAAGTTTTTTTTTATTACTTTTAGTTTTATTCTTCTAGGTGGATTTAACTAATCAAACCTTTTCTTTTTATTCTGTATGAAATTTCAGTTCCCAAATTTTAAGTGTTAGCTTTTCCCTCCATATGGGATTGCCAGATAAAATACAAGATTCCAGTTAAATTTGAATTTCACATAAACAACAAATGCTTGTTGTTGTTGTTGTTTTAGTATTTTTTAGTCCCATGCAGTATTTGGGACATACATTAATGCTAAAAAAGTATTACTACCCTAGCCAGTTTGGCTCAGTGGATAAAGCATCGGCCTACGGACTAAAGCAGCGGTTCTCAACCTGTGGGTCACGACCCCTTTGGGGGTCGAACGACCCTTTCACAGGGGTCGCCTAAGACCATCAGAAAACACATATATAATTACATATTGTTTTTGTGATTAATCACTATGCTTTAATTATGTTCAATTTGTAACAATGAAAATACATCCTGCATATCAGATATTTACATTACGATTCATAACAGTAGCAAAATTACAGTTATGAAGTAGCAACAAAAATAATGTTATGGTTGGGGGTCACCACAACATGAGGAACTGTATTAAAGGGTCGCGGCATGAGGAAGGTTGAGAACCACTGCGATGTTTCTATCTTTCTCTCCCTCTCCCTTCCTCTCTGAAATCAATTTTTTAAAAAAGTATATTTTTAAAGTATTACATGTTTATCGGAAATTCAAATATAACTGTTTTTGCTAAATCTGACACTCTTAACCCCATATCAATCTTCCTTGGGTAATGAGGATTCTTCACTGCTCCTTCATGGTGTTCCTGAAATAGAAGTCAAGCCCTTGAGTGGTCTCAGTCCCCTGTGGTTTGCTGAGCTGGGTTCCTTGGACCTGGACACTGAGTAGCAACAACGCCTCTACAGGAATCTCACAGGAAGGTGCGGCTTCTGAGCACACAGAGCCCTTTCCCATCGGCTCTCCCCTGGGGGGAGGTTCCGAGCCCCGTGTTGAAATGGGAACACTGAGCCGAGCACCGGGAGGTCACTTGCTGAGGGTCCACAGTACGAGGCAGGGACACGGCCGCCCAGATTCTTTCCTCTGAGTCTCCTTTGTGTGAGACAGGGCTGTTCAGGGGTAGGTGTGGGGGAGAGGTAGGTAAGGTCTCTCTTGATGGGTCCAGGACATGCTACCCCCAAATATGGCACCTTATTAAGAATATCTTGTCCTGCTGGCATGGCTCAGTGGTTGAGTGTCGACCTATGAACCAGGAGGTCCCAGTTTGATTTCTGGTCAGGGCACATGCCCAGGTTTGGGCTTGATCCCCACTGTGGGGCGTGCAGGAGGCTTCTCTCATCATTGATGTTTCTATCTCTCTCTCCCTCTCTCCCTTCCTCTCTGAAATCAATAAAAATATATTTTTAAAAAAGAATATCTTAAGCCAAAGGAGTTTGAGAGAACATTCTGACCTCCCCTCCCCTGAAAGCAGGAGATAAATCTGTGTGAGAGGTGCCCTCTCTGTACTAGGAGGAAGGCAGACATGATTTAGGCCTGAAAAGGCTCTATAAACGAACCTGGTTACTTCCTCACCCTTTCCTAGCCCTAGCCCGAAACCCTCTGCCTCGTCAATTCTTCACACAGTTATTGTTTCTTTGTCAAAGAGGCGTAAAAGCTTCCTGCTCTGGTCACTCCTCGGGGGTCTTCATTCTCTTGTGAGGGCTCCTGTGGACACGCAACACTTGAATAAAACGTGGATGCTTTTCTCCTGTGAATCTGTATTTGTCAGTTTAATATTCAGACCAGCCAGGGACACCAAGAGGGTGGAGGAACACTTTTCCCTCCCCTACACCCCTCACCCCAAGAATGGGCCCACCCCTTCTCCTCATTCCGCACGCACCTTGACCTCTTTCTCCAGGTAGTCACACAGCAGAATCTGGGGGTCGATGAGGTAGTCAGGGGGATAGAGGGGCATGGAGTGCAGGGGCCGGCGGCTCACACTGCTCCGAGTGGCTGCTCCTGCTCGGCGGGTAGCCTTTGGGAACATCAGCCTTAGGAGGGGGCCCTGTGTAAAGATGGGGGGGGGGGGCAGTAGATTGGAGCCCAGCAGGGGAGCAGGTAGGTGTCTCAAGCCAGATTGGAAGCCTATAGCATGGAACTGCTCTGCAGAGGGCCTTCTGTCCTGGGAGGCAGGGAGCAGGGGAGTGGGCCTATTAATGGTCCTTGGACTGAGAAGCTACAGGAGGGATTCCCCAGGATACCAGGGAAGGAGGTGGGGAGGATCTCCCAAAAGAATCTGTCTGGCTGGGTTTCCCTGGACGGTGTCTGTCTGTCTATATTCCAGGGACGGCAGAGACCGCTGAGAACAGGGAGGACAGGCTAGGGAGTTTGGAACCCAAATGTCTGACTGCTCCAGGGCGAGGAGAAAAGTCCTTCCAAATGAGAAGAAAGGCCCTGCTTCTGCCCCTCACTGCCCCTCACCCCCCGCCCCAGGCTTCCCACTTCCCCAGCTCCAGGGACATTTCTCTGCCCTGCATCCCTCCCAGCCTCCCACATACCTTTTTCCCTTTCTTGACTTCATATTCCATGGTGAAGCGTCCCTTCTACTTCTGCTGCCCTCCTAGCCACCACTCCCCCCCCCTACTCCCGCCCCCCAAAGTTTCCCTTTGTTCTTTTTCCTGCCTGGTCGGAAACTCCACCAGCCCTGGAGTTCCTGCCCCTCCTGTGTGATAGTGAGCAGAGTGGAGGGGGCGGGATGTAGCCTTGGGACCCTTCAGCTCAACAGTGGAAGCCCAGCCAGAGCAACTGACCTGGGGAGACAGTTTCAAGGCCTCCAGCCAGAGGCTTGCTCTTGAGGGGGCTTGGGAGTTGAGTGAGGCTAGGGGTCCCCTAAATTTGGAGTCAGAAAATCCCAAATTCTACCCCTACTTCCACCACTGACCTTGCTGTGTGACTTTGGCAAAGCAAGTCAGTTCCCCCTTTCACAGCCTCAGTGTCCCCTCCCCCACTATAAACTGGGAGTTACTATTGTCTCCCTCTCTGGGCTGCTGTGGTGAGAACTAAATGAAAGAGTTGGTGTGAAAGTGCTTCATCAGCTATACAGTACTGTGTCCAAGCAGGTTATGATTGTTAAAACTTATCCTTACTATTAAGGGAGGCAGTACTGAATGGGCTTCACAGACAGGCTGCCTGAGTTGAATCCTGCCTTTGCCACTTACTAGGGTTATGACTTTGGGCAAATCCTTTAACCTTCTGTGACTCAATTTCCTCATCCATAAAATGGGCATATACAGTTTGACTTCATAGTGCCCTTGTAAGGATTAAATGCATTTAGAAGAGTTCCTGGCACATGAAGTGGCCAATAAATATTAACTACGTATCTCTCTGTCTCTGTGTCCTGGGCTGTAAAATGCCCCCTTTGTGGTTCTGTGCTGAGCACTATGTATTTCGTCTCACTTATTCCTCACAACATTGGGTTACATTATTATACCCATTATACAGACTTTTTTTTTAAAAAAAAGTCTCCACTGCAGAGGCTGGCCGAGGAAGTCACAGTGAATAAGAGGGGGACCTGGGATTTCTGCCTGGTCTGGATCTGAAACCTGGTCACTTACCTCTAGGGCCTATCCACGCTGCATGCCGCACCCAGGACAGTGGGAAAGGTTCTGACTGACCCATCCTCCCCTTGCCATGACATGTGGCTTCTGGAGACCCAAGCTCTGGACCTGAGTTGCTATAGGATCCAGGGCAGGTTGCTTATTATAACTTCTCTGGGTCTCAGCTTCTTGTGTTTCCAATGGGAACAATAATCCCAAAGCCCTGCCCTGCAGTGAAAGGTGTGACAAGAAAGATATCAGGCCCTGGATGGGGGAAGCTGTTGCAGATTGTGAAGTGTAGTCGCCAAACAATGCACAGGATTGTTTTGGAAGCTTTTCTGAAAGCATGGGTGTGCCAGGCCAGTGGCTGTTGGAATGAGGGTCGGAGCTCCCCTTGCCTTTGGGTGTGAGGGCAGCAGGAGACTGCCAGCTACCAGCCTTCCCCCTGACCTCCCTCCCCTTTTCCAGGGAGGGGAAATGGCCCAGACTGCTTAGTGCAAGCTCGCACAGCCACACCCTCCTGCTCCCCTACATCCTGCCAGGCATCTCCTAGCAGCAGGAAGAAAGATCTCCATTAGCCTGCCGGCCAACAGGAAGAAGCCAGACTACTCTACCAATCCCTGACGGCTCCTGACATCAAAACTCCCGTAACCCCTGGAGTAAGCCTTGAATTCCCAGCAACGGCAGGGAGTGAAAGGTGATTTCTTGCTCTGGCACCCCCACGGCTGGCTTTTGCAAACCTTTTCCTTTCTCTGTAAAATTAGGACTTCCGTTATTTCTGAACTAGCTCCAAACATCTCTGAACTGCTGGGAATCTCAGATAGGACAAGAGGTGTTCTGAGTGCCACTAGAAACAGCAAGCTACCTGTGTATTCCCTGCAGGGCCCCCCTCGACTCCCTCCCAGGGCCATACACAGATCCAGTGCTTAGAAAATGTCACCGACAGTAGGTGGAGACAGGCGGACCTGGGTTCAAGTGTTTATGACCTTGAAAAGGTAGTTAGTTCATCTCTGGGAGCTCAGAGTCCTCACGTGTCAAAAGCAGGATAATGCTGGCGCTTGCCTCAGAAGGCAGCTGCCGGGATTAAATGGAAACAGAAGCACACAATGGTAACATTTATTATTAAAATTAGCTTGTGAATCATAAAAGAGATGAGTAAAACAAAGTCCTTGCTCTCGAAGACTTAGCAGTTGTGGCAAATGGAATTCATCTCTTTTGAGCCACCTCCGGCTGATTGGCAGGGGCTGCCTGGAGCTCTGTGTGTGTAGAGGATTATAAACACCAGGTCTACTCCCAGCATGAAAAGGGGATTGATTATCAATGCTTGCCATGGGGCAGGAGCGGGGAATGTGGCAGCTGGTGTTCAGTGCATATGCTGACCCTGACCTGGTTAGAGAGATGGGCACACAGGTAAAGAACTCTGATATAAGGCAAGCGACTAGTTGGGGGAAGGCAGAGGCAGGAGCCGTTCACCAAGCCAAGCCTTGAAGGGCGTATGGAAGGAAGGTCACTCTGGGCGGAGGGAACAGCTTGAACACACACAGAGTGCCTGAATTGTGATGCTTTGGGCTGCAAAGAACAGACTACTCTACCGAAGGCGGCTCAGGCAAGAAGGACAATCTCTTCAGGCAGGAAGTTCAATGGTAAGTGATTTCAGGGCTGGTTAATCGAGCAGCTCAAAAAAAAAGGGGAGACATATGTAATACTCTTTGTAATACTTTAAGCAATAAAAAAAAATTGAAACAAACAAAAAAAATGGCAGCAAGTTCCTTATAGTTCCACTTTGCTGGTCTTATGGGCTGAATTGTGTCTCCCAAGATGTATACGTTGAAGCACTGACACCCCGTACCTCAGAATGTAACTGCTTTTGGAGATCAGTTAAAATGAGGCCATAGAGTGGGCCCTAATCCAATCTGACTGGTGTTCCTACAAGAAGAGGAAATAAGTGCACACAGAGAGACCCCAGGGATGTGCACACACAGAGGGAAGACCGTGTGAGGACAATGCGAGAAGGCAGCCGTCAGCGAGCCAAGGCGAGAGGTCTCGAAGAAGCCAGTCCTGCCGGCATTTTGATCTGGGATTTCTAGCCTCCGGAGTTATGAGGAAATGAATGTCTGTTGTTTAAGTCCCCCGGCGTGTGGGAGTTTGTTTTGGTTCCTCTAGAACTCTCATACAGCCGGCAAGATGGCTGTTGCGGCTTTGGGAGTAATACATCCATCAGGATCCTGCAAGGGTCTCCCCTTCTCATGTGTTTCTATCGCGAGGGAAAACCTTTCCCAGAGATCCTTCAAGAGACTTCTCTCGGGAACCTAAGGACCAGATAGATTAGCCAGAGTATATTTCGGCTGTAACAGAGACCTCAAGAGCAGTGGCCTAGACCTGGTGGAAGCTTATCTCTTCCATCATAAAAGTAGCCCAGCTGTGCAGGGCCCAGGGGCTTCCTAGCTTGCTCCACCACACTAGGGGGCGCTCTCAGCTTCAAGGTGGCTCTCCACACAGCTGTAGTGTCACCAGTGGAAGGGTAAACAGAGCCAGGGGAGGGCACAACCCCTCCTTTTATTTTTTTATTTTTAAAGTATATTTTATTGATTTTTTTACAGAGAGGAAGGGAGAGGGATAGAGAGTCAGAAACATCAATGAGAGAGAAACATCGATCAGCTGCCTCCTGCACACTCCCCACTGGGGATGTGCCCACAACCAAGGTACATGCCCTTGACCAGAATCAAACCTGGGACCCTTCAGTCTGCAGGCCGATGCTCTATCCACTGAGCCAAACCAGTCAGGGCTCCTTTTATTTTTTGTAATCCTCACCTGAGGATACTCCCTTTTCATTGATGAGAGAGAGAGAGAGAGAGAGAGAGAGAGAGATCAATTGACTGCGCCTAAAAGAGTAAAGAGTGCCTGGCATATAGTAGGTACTCAATAAATATTTGTTTTTGGGGGTTAGAAACTTCAGTCTGGGTCCTGATTTTGTCATGGACTCATTCTCTGACCTCTGGCAAGTCGGACCCCACCCCATCTCTTTTTTCCCTTTATCTGTAAAATGAAGCATTTGGAGCTAATTCCTAAAACCTTTGCTCACCCCCTCCATTCTGGTTGCCTGATGGAGGCTCTGGCCAATGAAGGGAGCTGTGTGTAACAGCCTAACCCTCCCAGCCAAATGTGTTTGTGGTAGAGGGTGTCCTTCCTCCCCGTCCCGCCTCCCCCATCTCCTTCCTCCGACCCAGAACAGCCAAAACAACAGGACACAGACAACGCGTACTGAAATGACTTTTAATATCTCATGTCGCAGCAAAATTAAAAATATACAAAAAGTTTGTGGTGTACAAAAGAGTCTCAGTACAGAAGCCCCTGCTTGGGGCCCCTCCCCCTCCCGGGGGAAGCGCAGAGGGGTGAGCGGGGGTGGAGGACTGAGGATGGCACAGATGTAGTAAATACCAGGAGGTCGGACAGGAACAGGAGACAGAAATGGACAGGGGTGGGGACAAATTTGGGAGTGAGAATCACCCGGAATTGTGCTGCGGGAGGGAGATCAGCCCCTCAGGCATGGCTAGTGGTTCCTGGAGAGGGGGGCTGGGTTGGAGAGGAGGGGTCAGTACTGGGGGTGCCCTAGTGGCACCCTGAAGAACCTAGCCTGCCGCCAACTCACTGTGTGGCCTTAGGCTGGCTGCCTCTCTGGGCTTATCCTTTCAGTAAATCAGGATGCTGGGCGATAAACCGCTGATTCTCACCTTGGGCTCAAAAAAAGGGGGCAGGGGGCAGGGATGCAGGCCCACTAGTGCTCTTGACAATTGTGTAAACACTGCGATACAGCACAGATATGCCCCAACCCTCCAGCCCCAGGCCCTAGAAGCTAACTTGAGGTCTTGGTAGCATTTATTTGCAACCAGAAGCTCAGCTTGAGTTCATTGAATATGAGAAAATCAATTATTCTTCAAGAATGGAGGCTTGTTTAGAAGAATCTCCCACACTCTAGGATGCTCAGGGGTGAAAATAATAACAGGGGGCTCTGGGAATTGCTGGGTCCTTTCCAGCTAC